GCTATTTTGCACAAAGATGTTAACCTTGTTCCTATCTACCCCTTATTTTTAGCATCTAAAAAACAACCAGTTAGTTTGCATTGAAATTTTGTCAAAAAAAAAAAGGTCAAACACAAAGATTAAAAACAAATAAAAGAATCCTTCAAAGATATTTCATATCGTAATTTATATAAAATCAAAATGTTTTATTGTCTAATTTATGTCTGATGTTTTTGGCCTTCTACAAACTTTACATGAAAACTTTTAATTGTTTTGTACTCAGAAAAATCTTTTTTTATCTGATGATAAAAAGAAAAAATAAATCCATGAAACCACATAGAAAGGAAATAATTTTAAATATCATGAAATTTTTTGTTGAAACTCTTCTGGAAAAAAAAAAAAAAAAAAAAACATAAACATTTAAAGTCTGCCTGGAAAGTGTGCATCTTTTTTTTCTTTTTATTTTCTTTTTTTTTTTTTTTTTTTTTTTTTAACATCTTTAGCACAGTTTTCTGCACCTTTTGGTGCAGCTTTGCAGCCAAGTGCCATGCATGCATGAATGCCCATGCAATTACTTGCATAGATGCTGCTGGGTGTGCTTCTGCTGTGCAAATATTTTGCATTCACATTGAATATACTTCAACTTTGGAACCTGGCCATTCCTTGGCAGAAACTATTTGAAGGATTCACAAGACTTTCAGGATTGATTTAAAGTGTGAAGCTCAGACAAAATTTTGCTAGCAACAATTCAAACATGTCTGTGAATTGATTAAAACATGATTCATATTCTAAGATCTCCAACAAGAAAAAAATGTTAAACACCGCATGCAGATGGTGATCAAAAGAAATCTATAATGGACACAAATTAGAAGGTTCAGTTTCCATCAACCATCTGCAATCTATCCAGACATTTTGAATCTCGGTTTTTTGCTACAGAACATCACATCACATCATTCAGGGTCCTGTCCTTTTGGCTTTTTCACTATTTAGCAATTTGGGACTGAACAAAAAGAGGTAGTCAATAGTGATAAGAAGACAGGACTTTTCTGAATGTTTTTCAAACTGGAACGGATGCAGCGATACGCGTGAAATGTCCAAATGTCTTTAGCTTACCATTGCTGCAATCATGTATCTACAGGCATTGTATGTTTTTGGTGTTTTTTTTTTGTTTTTTTTTTAACAAGAACGTATCATCATTGCTGTGTGAATTTCTGGGATGATAAGTTATCATTGTTTACACTATTTACATTCAGTCTATTGTCTTTGTTGTTATTATGTTTTGGTTGTTGTGCCCTTTGGCCTTCATCAGGTGTATATTGATCTGGGTAACCTACAGGAAATTCTGAACTGAATGCTTAATTTAATCTAAAGATATAGATTGTTCTCATTTAGTTAGGGCTTCTTTTAGTTATCTTTCTTTATTTGTAGATCCATATTGCATTTATTTCTATGATAGATCTACTAATTCTACAAAAATTCCCTGTAGGTTACCCAGATTGATATACATCTAAAGGTCAGATGGGCAGAATGGCTGAAATATTGCGATAACAAAGATGAGGATAATAGTTTGAATGTAAATAGTATAAATAAGAGTGTATAATATATCGGCTTTTGAGCAGTGATGGTCAGCTACTGTTCACTCTTTTATTTTTTTTATTTTTTATGTTTTCTTTTTTTTACAAATAAACAAAAATATTTCAGTATTTGTTTTAATGTTTAATTCTATTTTACACATAATCAAATCCATTCTTGGCTGAATTATATATGTCTACTTTATTCTAACTTATTGAAGAAGATATTGTCATTAAAGACATTTCTCATGTTTTAAGAATTTGATGCTTTGTTTAAAAAAAAAAAATAATTCTTACAATAAGGAATATTGAAAATGTTTCTTTTAACAGAAATAAATGTCCTCATTAACTTGTTTTTCAAAATACAAAATCCTTTTAAAATCTGCTCATTCCAGTTTTGTAAGTGTTTTAAAATTTTTTATTTTATTTTTATTTTTCCTTGTCCTCTTTGATTAATCCTTCTTGACTTAATTAAAAAATTTTAACTGAGTGCTTGTTATCGACCCATTTTTTAAAAACTTTCGAACATTATTAACTTAAGTACTAAAAGCAGATTTTGCAAATGTTAATCTTTTTGCAGATTATCATTTAAAACTTGGTTGCCTAACAGGTTAATAAATGTGCCAGTCAGAAAAACTGGGTGAGTCTGGCTTTGGATGCTATATCAACTTAAAAAAGTAAATGTTCTTTGAGATCATGTAAAAAAAGAAAAGAAAAAAAAATTCTTGAAACTTTTTTGGGTTTTTTTTTGTCTATCTTACTCTAGCTTTTGCCTGTAAAAAGTCTTCTTTTTTCCTCATCAATATGATTGGCTGTGTTGAGGATGGATGAGATTCCAGCTTCTATTGCCACTTGATACAAATCTAACAAAGTGCCAAAGCTGAGAGAATCTACTTGCTAGATTTCTAAACTCATCAGGCAAGAAAAAGTTTGCAAAACTTTTCTGTTGAAGATGCCTTAAGAGCTGCAAAAAGGTTGAAGAAGTGAGTCCATGATGACACACACTAAAAAGAAGTGCTAAAATATGATGGTTGCTAAGCAAGAAAATAGGTGAATCGAAATGTATTTATTGTTGGAAACCTGAATGGCACTATGAAAAAGCAACATTGAAAGAGTGATGGTGAGCAAAGTGTTTATTAGAAAACATTGCTGCAGCCACTTCTGCTGATAGACAGCATAAGATTATTTGTTAAGGACATTGGACAATGTCTCCCCCCGACTTGCATCAGGCAACAAAGATTTGTAAGACAAAAACTAGTCTTGTAATAAGTGACCAACATTGATATTATCTTTGTGTTGCAAATGCAACTGCTGTACAACAACTTTCAGAAAGGAACAAATTACTGGACTTGCTAGTCCGCAATCAGTCTTGGTGGATGGAATGCCACGCTATATCGGGGACATTTATCCTTCCCCAAGTTCAGAATCTTCAACAAGCCGTGAAGATGATGTGTCCAAAAATGAGGAGGAAATCCTCGTGAGCGTGGATAGGCCAGATGATCCTACAGCAGAAAAATGACATGGGGACAAAGAGGAGGGACACTAACCAGCCCCACTTTGGAAAAGACCCACACCAAGCTGTCATAGTTGAGATCAGTGGAGAGTATTGTGAATGCATGTCATTACAAATTCAAGAGTCCCCAGATCACATGCCAGCCAATACCAGTTACATTCAGGTTTTCCCTGTTAGCAGCACAACAGCTTGGCATGTCTAAATACAGGCCTCTCTGGAACTGGTCAAGATACTTGTCTTTGCCACATGCTAATAAAAGCAACAGGAAAATCAGCTGTCAGGAGTTGGCAAGACACAGTGTCTTTTGAAATCTGCCCTATGGGCAATTTTGTTCCTAAAATTGCTGTGGTTTTTGAGGCAGTGTTATTTTTTTGTTACCTCCCATCTCTTTCCCCTCTCTGCCTATTACTCTTGTAGTTGCTGGGAGAGCAATCAGGTGTTTCTCCTAACCTCAACACACTCTTCCTGTACATTACAATATTAAAATCCATTCATTTTCCTCATATTACAATGTTTTCCGTTCCATTACTACAATATAATTATTTAGTCTAAATTTCCATTACCCCCGCCCCCGTCTGCAAGGGGTCTAAAGAAACTGCTCATTGATATAAAAGCAAAGTTGTTTCTTGAGAAGATCACAAGTATTAAAATGTTTGTTTTTTTTTTTTTTCTTGTTTTTTTTGGGGGGGTTGCCTAGGATCATAGTGAAGATTTCTATCGATAGGATGTGATTGAATTTGGTTAAATTCTATTGTCTGTCACTTTATGAATATATCAATTTATTTCTGTCTAAAGATCTCACCATAATATTACAGCTGTCTACAGCGGTGGAAGGCATGAAAGATAATTTCACTTGTATCTCATTGTATGAATGATCTGCAAGTAAATTGGAACCTATCTGCATTGGTTTCTGATCATATTTTGACAAAATAGAATTTCTGCTTGAATTTTAATAAATATTTGATTGAATTTAGCACAGTCTGACTTTGTAGGAATTGGTGCCTAAAACTAACCTCGTTTAGTTTACATTTTAAACTTGAAAGAAAAATCAAAATGGAAATGTTCTGAAAATTGCCTAGAGAGGCTTTTAATATTTGTCAAGCATAGACTTTATCAAAAGGCCATGGTCATTTTGTACCCTTTTTTTTTTCTTTTTTTCGTATTTCTTACACTCTTTATGATAACAAACCTGAAAAATCTTTAAATAATTTTATTTAATCTCCCATTTATTCACTTTATTGGAAATGTTAAAGATGGTCAAAGAACAGAATTGAAATAAGAGTTGGCCATTGCAATGCTTTGCTGCTGTTATGACAACAATCAATTCACTTGGTAAAAAGGCATGAACTTGAATTTTTCCTGTCCTAGTGCTGTTTGAATTTTATTTTCCAATTATCAATATACTATTGTACAAAGACAATTTAATATTGACATGAGAAAAATTGCTTTTGTATTTAAAAACAAAATCTTTAAAGTTTAATCCAAAATCCATTGTTTTTGCAAATGACTTGTGGATTTTTTTCCTTCTTGCTGCTTTGTTGTTGTGCAGGTCTAAACGAAGCAACCTGTGTGCACCTAGGAACTATGGCTTATTTCCTTCATCCTGTTATCTGCTTTCATTCCTTTTCCAGAACCCACCTGCTTTTTTTAGGGCTCCTTCTCCGATTCGCTAACTGTTATAATGTTGTCATTGCCAAGCAGTTCAGAGGCTCATCACTAACAATGTTTTTTTTTTCTGTTTTTGTATTTGTTTCACAGGTAACTTAAAGTTTACTGAGCGAGTGTATGAGGAAGGTGAAAACCAACCTCAGAGAGTTTCAGGCCTGAAGGTAGAGCTCAATGCACCAGCTTTCTTGCACATTTCCCTGTATTGCCTTGCCTACTGAGCTAAACGATTTTGCACGTTTTGTAATTGAAGATGTTCTTTTTCAATGCAGGTAAAATAAAATATACAGAGAGAGTTTATGATGCTTGTATGGATGCTTTTGACTGCCTGCCCCTGGCAGCCTTAATGAACCAACAATTCTTGTGTGTCCATGGAGGACTGTCACCTGAAATCCATACATTAGAAGACATAAGAAAAGTAAGTATAGATCATCTAAATTGTTTTACTAAGCACATGACAACAAATTGGTCTTTTAACAAGTAATTTTTTTTAATTCAAAATATTTCAATTGATACCCAAAAATAGGATCTCTTTATTTGTTTCTCCTATATATTTCTGTGGTTTGAAAGCTTTTTAAAAAAAAAAAAAAAAAAAAAGAGGCCAAGGATAGGTGTATTGATCTGAAGTAATGTGGTCTTGTTAGTTCGTTTCTTCTCTGCTTCTCCCAGGATCTTTCTTGTCAATCCTTATTTTCAAATATCCTTCTTCTTCTGTGTCCCTTACAACATTTCTCATACATGCTTTTCTTTTCTTTCTTTTTCTCCTCCCCGACTAGCATGTTTCTTTGTCAAGTTCACCAAAATAAAATCACCGACTCCTATTTTCAGTCAAGTTTTATAGTTTCTGAAGAGTAAGCGTTCTCAAAGCAAATTTGTGGCTTTCACAACACAAAGAAAGAAAATCACTTGTAACGCGTCAGGAAAATAACTCACGAACGTCGAGCCAAAACTGCCGAATTTTCCTTCCCCGAGTCGAAAACATCAACTGCTTTTATCGGCAGAACCTATTTTTTCCATTAAATGACAGCGGTATAGGATGTCCGTAATTTGTATATTAATATACTCTTATAGCGACTCCTCGCGACGGACTTGTTTCTTTTTTCGTCACAGAATACCGCCAAGGCTGTCGCTATAAGAGTTTTGCTGACTACTTTTTGGCAATCCCTCCTCGGCAGATCGCACACAAAACACAAACTTTTTTCCGGGGTACTTGATTATCTCGTTCACTACAGTTTCTTTCTTCCTTCCCATAATTCGTCATTTTCTCCTAGTTTGCCATAATGTCTCTATAAAAGAAGTCACCTTTCACCACTTCTTCTCTCCAACTACAAGGTAAGTGACATTTCATTTTTTCTTTTCATTCAAACTACAATTTAAGTGTTGTTTGCTAATCATAAATTTTGTCTATTGATGTTTATAAAATGTAAAAGATTTTTATATTAATTTAAGTAATATGGCTGCAACAACAATATTAATGCTGTTTAGATTAAAATTTAAAAATGAGGAAAGCTTTTCTCAACTTATAGCTGCAGACATTTAAAGGAGTTGACCATACCTGTATATTAGCAACTCTGTGACTCACTGGGTCAGCCATCTGTGTGTTTTGTTTGTGTTGTTTTGTTGTTTTTTTTTTTTTCATCATTTTGCCCCAAGCAAAGTCATAATGCCACTAGAATGCAAGGGATTACCGGGAGTGAAAGCAAAAGAGAACAAAGAAGACTGAGAATTGTGAAGATTGAGGAAAGGACTAAAAGAAACAGGGTTCAAGAAATCAGAATAGAGTTCCACAGATGGGAAGTGCAAGAAAAGAAATTGTTAGAGTAGAAGTGGCAGTTACATCTAAAATAGTGGGACCTACTTGCCAATCTAGTAGCATGCTTAAATTTATGTACTCAGGGTATCAGGGAAAGAAGTTTATTCGAGCTGTTGCCATGAAAATATTTGTGGAAAAGACAGAGGGAAGCCATGTCAATATTGGTGAGAAGGTGACCATAATCAAGATGCCAAGTCAAGATTGTGATTACATTACTAATTCGTTTTTGACTTTTGTGAAAAATCTCAATATGTACAGCAGTAGCACTAGACCAGATATGGCAACAGTATTCAATACATGGACAAATGGTAAATTTGTAAATGGGCAAGATGGATTCTAACAACAAAAGACAGTAAACCAACTTTTGAGAGAAAATTGAGATATAAAATTGTCATTGAATTCAGATTTAGGTACCTTCTGTACAAAAAGGAAGTTTTGTTTGTTTTGTTTGTTTTTCTCTCTCTCTCTCTCTTCCCTTGTCTCTCCTCTCCCCAGTTGTTTGCAAAAATTCTACAATAATATTCACTGGCAAATCACATGCAATTATTTTTCTGTTCTTTCCATTAGCGCATTTTAAGTGCACCTTAATACAATACCTCTCTTGCATTTTAGCTTAGAGGTTAAACAAAATCAGATTTGGGGTTTTAAATAGTCCAACCTAATGAATTTCAGCAAATTCAGTAGCAAATATGTGATAAAAACCAGGAATAAAAATAAAATGTCTTGAAGGCTTTATGCAAACTGTGTGTGTGTGTTTCATGTCCACAGGGGGCACACCTAATATTCTACACTCTTGAGAGATGATTTAAAAATAAAACAAAACTAAAATTCTTAATGCTACACATTGCAAGTAGGATTTGTTACTCAAAACAAAAATAATCATCAACTGACACTCTGTAATTGAATTATTGAGTTTAATTAAGTCTTTGTTGATGATACCTGTTAATAGCCAGGGATGAATGAAGTCTCCATTGTGTATAACAAAATCTAATAAAAGAAAACACTTTTCATGGTGGTTATTCTAAATGCTGTTCGGACTTGTTTGTCAGATTTGTAAATGTTGTGCTTCACTCCCAAAAAATCTTAATAAATTGAACCAAAACTGAAGGAGCGTATTTGATAATTCTTGATTACTGTTTGTTTATCTTTTCTCCCCTAAAATTGGAATTTATTAGAATCAACAGAAAACGACTTCAGAAGGAAAAATCATTTCATTATAGGATGAGTTTACCAGATTCAGCCATCCCCCCCCCCCCGCCATTCTATTTCCCTTTCTTCATTCAATTTATTTATGACATGTACTTAATGGTTGGCTGACTTTTCATAAAGACTAATTTCTCTTTATTTCATCTCGACTTTTGATCTTAAGAACAATGATCTTAATAGAAAATGAACAGAATATCCATTAAAAAAAAAAAAAAAAAAAAAGATGAGATAATTTCTCTAGTTTCATCTGCATTTTTCAGTTGAATGCCTAAAATGTTTGAATTGTTTTTTGTTTCTCATCTTTCTCAACTTCTAAATGACTATTTCAGTTGGTTTCTCCTATTTAATAAAATTAATAAAACCTTCAAGAAATTTTAACATCAGTGGTGATAGTTTTTTTTTTTTGCTTTTAACATTTTTCTGTTTTGTTTTGTTGCTGAAGAGTAACTGCTATTTAAAAATATAATAAAACAAAATCATCTTTACTGTTTATCTAGACTTTCTTTGAATCTTTTTCCTCTCCTCTTCTTCATATATAACAGTGGAACCATTATTGTTTTCTATTTCCTTTGAAATTTGTTAAAAAAAAAAATGGTGTGCTAAATTTTCTTGCAAAATAGCAATTTTCTTGAAAATGTAATAAAAATTCAAAGAAATGGTCAAATCCAAATTTTTTTTTTTTTTTCAGTGGAACACATTCTCTTAGAAAAAGCAAAAAACAAATCAAGTGATTAATTCAAATAATTGCAAGCATTTAAAAAATGCCTGGCAATTTAGTATTTCCAAATGACTTTCCAAATGACCATTAACAATGATTGATTGTCCGATACATTTGTTTCTGTTTCCATGTCAAATGTTAAAATTATGACAGATCTGTAGATTTGTTTTATAGTGACCATTGATGAAAGACCTGCTAATAGACAACCTACCTGCTTATATATCACAATGTCTGATGACAAGTCACCAGATAACAAATAATCTTAGAATATACACAATATAATTTTTGAAATCCTTTTCTTTAATGATTTCCACCCCTATTTCCATTCTTTAGTTTTTCTCCTTCTGTAATGTTTGGTCAATTTTTAAAGACCAATAAACTTGTAAATAACTAATATGGTTCCCAGTTCTCTCCTTTTGCTTTAATTTTCTTTGTAGAGAGGGGTCATTTTGATGCTAGTAACTGTCATGGTTTTGTCAAGGACACCAGAACAAGAAATGCAATATTCATGATCTGAATGATAGAACAATACAAACACAAAAGGTTGTGCACTTATGTTTTATAAATTGAGTAAAAGTATTTGACGAGGTATGGCACAAGGATCTATTTGAACTGCTGAGAAAACTTGATCTATTTGGAAAAGTTATTAGATTAATGCAGAACTTGGAGCAAACCAGCTGTATACGGATAGAAAATAAATTGAGTGGCTATGCAAAAATAGAAAGGGGCATGAGATACACATGCATCTTTCAGATAGTGAAAGAAGCATTTCAAAAGCTAAGCAACATGCTGAGCAACAAAAACATTTTGTTAGAAACAAAGAAAAATGTGCTGCTTTGCTCAGTGATATCCATTCTCTTGTAATTGTAGCAGTGAATTTTGGAGTTTCATGCACAGATGAGAAAAGGAATTCAAAGCAGCAGAAATGTGGTTCCACAGGGGGATACGGAAAATTCCGTGGGTGGAGTGAGTAAACCAACAAGGAAGTTGAGAAAGAAAATGACAACAGAAAGAAGACTTCTACTCAGAATCAAGACAAGATAGCTGAAAATACTTGGGGACACAATGAGGAAAGAGGGCTTGGAAAACAATCCCCCATATGGCATATTGAGGGCAAGTGAAATAGTGGAAGGCAGCTAGCCAGTTACCTGACAAGCTTGTGTAAATGGATAGCATAAGTGGGGGTAAGGAATGGTGTGTGTGTGTGCGCTTTTAAATTTATCCATTACAAAACACAATAGCCACTCAAGGTAGAACATTAACTTAATGAATTCTGAAATATGAATGGAAAGTAGTAGGAAGTGAAGATAAAGATGACAATTGACTCTTAAACATGTCAGCATTGAAGTGTTCAGGGAAAGCACCCACGTGGGAGTTTTCTTCCCCCACCACCAATAAAGTAGTAGTTTTATTTGAGTGGTGAGGGTGTCTTTTTGAAATTTCCTTCTTACACTTGAAATATGAAGAAAATGATTATTTGATTCTGTGGGAATGGCTTGTCATAACTGTAGAGGTCTGAACTGGTGAAAATAAAGAATGGAGCGCTCATCTAAACATTTGCCATGGAAGTAGTGATGGGCTTGCAACCTTGCATTTGTGGAAAACAAGTCGTGAAATGAAAAATAAGACTGCATAAACAATTTTGAATCCTTTCAAGGACTAAACTGTTATTCTCCAATTTTTTTTTTTTTCTTTAAAGAATTTTTCAAAAATATTTTTAAAATATTTTTAAATCTTTCAAATATGAGGTCAAGTGAAAAAAAAAAAAAAAAATTAAAGATGTGATGTTTTCCATTTTGGTCTTAAACTTTCCTACTTTTCATTGTTTCTATAAACTTTTATGGAGCTCAATGTTTTATTACATTTATTTACTCCATAAATTGTTATTTGAAGTGACCATACCACATCCTGTTTATCAATAATAAAATGCATCCAATCCTTAACCTGATAATTTTCATGTTAGTGAAATGTATATATAAAATGCAACTTAACCTTGATAGATGGCTTACCTTACACTGATCAAATACAATACTCTATTTCTCTTCACCAAAAGGCTTTGGCTATCATATCTCTTGTGATACTGACAAGTAAAGTACAATGAATAATGTTCTCTTAATATGGCTTTTGTTTTTGTTTTTTTTAAGTTTTGACTGCCTTCACAGAAGTGCCAAAAGTTTTCCCTTCCTGAATTTGATTTGAAATTGAATTTTTTTTTTTTTTTCAACCCAAGGAAGGAATTAAAGCCATACAAGTGTTACTAAAGTGTAAGAAAATATTATAAAAAAAAAAAACTATTAAGGAAAGAGAACAATAAAATAACAATTGGCATTGCATTTAAATTTTTGAAGATCAAAGTTGACTGAAAAGTAAGAAGCCAGAAGAAAGTTACGCAGTTGAAAAGTGCAAAAGAAGAAACTGTAAATATAGAACTTATGGTTACATCAAGCTATTTCAACTGTAAAATGAGACCTAATTACCAATCAAGTACTATGCTTAAAATCATAAAATCTAGTTACACTAGAGGAAAAGTTATATTTATTCCTGTTTTTACAGAATATGTGAGATAAGGCCAAATGGGGGTGGGGAGGCTGGTCTTCATCTGTCTTATATCTAAACTTAGCTACAATCACTGACCCAAAGATACCACAACACATTTTTACTTACTACAGTCACCATAATACCTCAGAGTACCATAGAGGACAATTTTTCAGAATAACTACCATGAAAGTATTTATAAAAAAGGTACAGGGAAGCTGCGTGTAAAGAAATTGTCCTGCATCCCCTGCCATATAGGAGGACTGATATTACATAACAGTTCAGTACTCTTTTCTTTGTTTCTCTTGATTCACGTCTTCTCTTCATCTGTGAAAAGGTTATCCAGCATTCACTGCCATATTGGAGGATTGATATTACATGACCGTTCAGGACTCTTTGTTTTTCTTGCTTCAAATCTCTTCTTCATCTGTGAGGAGATTGTCCAATATTCACTGCCATATAGGAGGGCTGATATTACATAACAGTTCAGGATTCTTTTCTTTGTTTCTAACATAATTTTACCATTTTCTTAATATTTTGCTTACTTTCTGAGAGACTAGGGATTTTATTAATGATAATCATAAAAAATCCAATTTTAATGTAAATGATAAATTGAAATTTAAATGCTCTTAGCTTGTGCTTATAATTTCAATATCTGATCCAATTCATTACACGTGATCTGTCTTGTATAATTAATTAAATAATTGGCAGAAAGGTAATTGGCTTATAAAATAGAAATTTCAGCAAATTGGCTTTTCAAAAAAGCTGTTGAGTTCTTCTAATGTGTCATTGCCCTTCCCCAAATTTGAAAGTTCAAAATTTGCAATTCAGTTTTCCATCTTCAAGAATCCAAAATATATTTCAACTTTAAATACCCGACAAAGGGTTGATAAGCTGTAAAATATAAAATAAACATGTTCAAGAAAATTCAAAGCCAGGAGATTGATACTGGAGCAATCGTTTGTGAATTTGTTTGACTTGAAATAAATTTCTCTTTTAATCGCTTGAAGTAAAGTCTTTCAGTTCCAACCATGGAAATGTCTGTCTCTTGGGAGTCTCTATCCACAGAATATCTTAGCTGTATTATTTAAATTGCATTTATTTTCAGCTGTGAATATTTGAAAATTAATTTTCTATAACAAACTCTGACCTTTTTTTTTTTTTTTTCCCTGCTTCCTTTTTTCAGTTGGACAGATTCAAAGAACCGCCAGCCTTTGGCCCAATGTGTGATATTTTATGGTCCGATCCTCTGGAAGACTTTGGTAATGAAAAAACAACAGAACACTTCACACATAATAGTGTTAGGGGTTGCTCATATTTTTACAGGTAAGTTTGATTCTCGACACCCTCTAAAAAAAAAAAAAAGAGTTGGCTTAATTATTGAATTTGTTATATTACAATGGACAATTCTTTATGCCTGCCATTTATTTGTTTATTAAAACCGAGAAATTTAACTACTTGGTAGCCAGAAATGAACACCATCGCTAACTTATCTCTGTAATTAGTATTGACATTGGTTTCGTATTAAGGATTCTCTTATCTCTTCACTACTGTGTCGATAAAGTGAAAGGAAGTCATTTTGACCAAATGGATACATTACCTTCTTTGTTGTTTCACTGTGTAATACACACTTTTAGTTTTGAAATGCTATAGATTCCAAGATGACCTTTGCTTAAAGTGTATTTTGTTCTGTCTACACTTAATACTACTGTTGATTCTACTCCCTTGTGCTGCAAATTAATTGAAACAACCACTTTAGCTTCCTTTCTTTCACCATACGGTCAGTTTTAGACCCACTAGAGTGACATGGCGTAATCAATTGCTATTTTTTTTCCTCAGATTAGGTCATTTGCAGTGGTGTGTAGTAATATGAATGTATCTTCAGGATGAAATTTGTTTGGCCTTGAAAAACATTGCATCATCTGTGATTGCATCAGATTTTTATCACACCCAGGCACTATTATCTTGACTGTTGATTAGTTGTCCTACGGCTATTGTCTGCAATGCACGTTACTCCAAGGAAGCGTGCAAGAACTGTAATGCTGCATGCACACACTGTTAAGCCTTACCAGTGAGCAAATCAAAGTACTATAGACTGGCCCAGAAACTTTCCTAATTTAAATCCAATCAAGAACTTGTGGTCAATCTGCAAGGAACGACTTTGTGGAATGGACATACGAAGTACTAACATGTGCACTGAGTCATGTTTCATTGGAAAAATACAAAAAAAAAAAGTAAATAACAGAATTATTTGTTTTGTTTCAGTTAATTTGCACTAGGGTGTATGTTAACCCATTAATAGCCACTGTTCCAACTAATTGGTGATCGATAGAAACCTCTAATACACTGTTTTTATTTTTATAATTAAAACAGGATTTTATAGTGGACTAAAGTAGAAATGAGTTGGCAGATGTGTCAAAAAAAAAAAAAAACAACTGCTTTGAGTTTAGCATGTACAAAATTTAATCATGTCAGTTTAATGTGAAAGTACAGCAGTCCCTTTGCTTACACTTGGTTCTTAGGTTTCACTTACATTTAGTCAACTCCAGAAATAAACAGTTCCTCTGTTTTACTTAATAATGGTTCCAAAGAAAGAATAATGATGTTAGAAAATCGGTCAAGTCAAACACAAGCCATAAGTAAAAGTAAAAAGTTCTATGTGCCATGTCCCTTCAGGACATAGGCAATCATGGCTCTTGACAATGTCTTGCCCTTTGTAGATCTTAATAAATTTTGTTTTATTGTGATCTCTCCTAGACCCTATTCTGCCATCTTTTTACTCAAGCAAGCTAGGTAGGTTATGTATTGTTTTCATCTTGCCTGTCTTCTGAGCATCAAATTTTCCAAGCCGTCTTTCCTCATTATGTGCCCTAGAAATTTCAACTGTCTCTTCCTGTTAAGTGTCCTTTTTGTTTTCATTTTCTATAAAACTTCATCATAGCTCACTTCATGGTATTCTCACCACCCTTCTGTAGAACCACATATCTGTTGCTTCAACTCTCTTCATCTTTGAGGTGATTGTTCAACATTCACTGCCATATTCAGTACTCTTTTCTTTGTTTCTCTTGCTTCAAGTCTCTTCTTCATCTGTAAAGAGATTGTCCAGCATACACTGCCATATAGGAGGACTGATATTACATAACAGTTCAGTACTCTTTTCCAATTAAATTTTTCCATTTCTTAATACTTTGTTTAGACTTAAAAAAGAAGAAAATCCCATGCTAAAGTTAGTAATATCTACAGTAAGAAGAAATTTTCTATCTATTGCATAATATTTTATTACAGTATTATTTATTCTCATTGTTCTAGGGAAAAGCCTATTACATATATAGTTTAGTACCTCAATCCACGCACATGGCTATATGATTGTGCAATGTTTTCTCTTTCTCCGCCAATCAAGTGGAAAGAAAGGACCTTTCATTTACTTCCCCATCCCCTTATACTGTTTTATCAAGTACGATTTTTCTTGGGCAATAGAACCCTTGTGTTTTTTTTTTTTTTTTTTTTGTTTTTTTTTCCCCTGTCAATTTTAACACATTCTGGCTGGTTCATTCTTCAGCCCCTCAAAGTACAATCTGCTGGAACAGGAAAATTTTTACACTCTCATGGGTTGGGGGGGGGATATCAGAAAATAAAAGGTAGTTTTTATGTCCCTAAATGTTTTCTAAATCATAGAGATCTGGCAGAAAGCACAAACTCAATGTCCCCCTCCATCAGTTTCCCAACAATGTTCAATGGTCAATTATCTCAGAGTGAATAATGCCTCACCTTTTGGTTATGGCGTATCTTTCTCAAATTTGACCATTTAAGAAAATGGTTGCTTACCCTCCGTATATGCTCTTCCATGAAGAATGTTGTAAAATGCAAATGTTATTCAAACCCTTCTCTCATAAAAGGGACCAACTCCTTATAAAGAGGTTAGGGAAAAATTTTTTACTAGCAAAAACCTTGGCCTTATATTGTAACATCAACAAAATCTTTGGATCTGTTTTGTTGCACCTTTATATATGGAATGTTTGTGACAGCTACCTCCTTGGTGATACTGGGATGAGTGCTACTCATGACTCCTGAATTCTTCTTTACTGATTGATGTCTTGCATCTAGAGTTAACTAACCATTTAATATAGAAATTATGGTTAGGCTTAGAATGCCATAGGCATTGGTTTTCTGAACATACTAATGTGCATATTCTCCCTCTCTACACTTAACCAAAGCCCTTCAACAAGAAATAGGGTGCATTTGTTTTGATATACACTCTCCATTGTGACTTGCTTGTAAGATCAAATTGTGTTTATATGATTTAAAAGCTTCTTTATGTTGTCCTTCATCATTCATTTACTTAACACACAGGCAGATTCGATAGAATGCAACTACAGCTTCTCAAAAAAATAATTCTTGCAAATTACCAGAGAAAGTGGTTAACAACTGAATGTATGCAAAAAGGGATTTGCTATGTTAATGTCTCTTGTCAAATTTGCAACATAATGGTTTCTTTATACCACATGAACTCCTTATGGATCATTTAATGCTGAAATTTAATTTTTTTGGGAACTTTGGAAATTTTTTTTTTTTTACTCTTAAAATCCATTACAGATATCTTATTCTAAAAATACTTTGACCCCATTTTAGGGGTTCACTATTTACCCATATCTGGGACCCTAACAGGTGCAACCCCTGGGAACAACAGCAATTAAGAGGTGGTTCCACGCTCCTCGACATTCCCCTCCCCGATGTTGTTTAGCATTACACCCCAAGATGAACGTCATAAAGAACAACAATGAACACATTGTGTATGTACATGTAATATTATTAGTGAATATTTACACACACGTTTGCAGTTAATTTGAAGCCACAAACATGAGTGTCTTTAGAAGTCGTAATGTGGCTTCACGTATTTTTAATGTCATCAGTTTTGTTTGCAGTAAACTTAATTGTAATGCATGAAAAATTTGTTCTGAAATGATGCTTGCTATAACATCAGGGACTAGTTAATTTTTCTGTTAATAGCAGAAAATAAACTTAATCTCTGTGATAGATTATAAAACTTAGTCATCTAGCATTGGAGGAGGACTATAGTCATGATCATCGACTCAATGTCTATTCCTCAATCCTTTTTCTGATCTGCATAGTATGGGCTTTGCCAGGGCTATATACAGTTTTGAATTCATTGTTGTCTTTCTCCTAAACTGGTTGCCACCCAAGGCTATAAGATCCAGTCTATCCTGACATTTACCATTTAAGAAATGGTTTTTTACCTTTCCCAAGGCTATTTGCATGCAAGTGAATGTAACTGACTTTGATTCTTCAATACAAGCTGCTATCCATGACACACATTGTGCCTTTTCTTGAGGAGCAGCCATTCTTTAGCAGTTCATTTAACAGTACCTCTTTCATCAACAGGATACCTGAAATGTGCAAATGCAATGTGATTATAAACTTTGATAACTGAGCAATAGAACAAATCTGATCAATTGCCTTCTATATAATAAATGCCAATGTCATTGTGTCACACTTTTTCAACTTTACTCTAGAGGCTGTAGCCCAACATATCATACCATTTTGGAATTATGCCAAATCCATGAACAAATTATTCTTTGGACCTGCAATCTGGAAATTTTGGATTCCCAAGTTTTCATTATTGCGATTGTTTTCAGCATGTTGTGTGTGTTTCCGTTTTTTTTTGGGGGGGGGTTGTTTTTTTTTTTAACATGATTTTTCTTTTGCGACATTTTTTTGTATAATAAAAAGTTTTATAATTTGGAAATAATTGAAATTAATTGCAAAATCCAGGGAAAGTCACCTATGAAAGCAAAATAACTGTTTGTATGGAAAGTAAAGACTTACATACATCAAATTATCTTTAAGTTGTGGCAGAAGAACTATCATTAACTTTTATAAGGTAAACTTAAATATTAATGCAATACTTAAATGTAACAATCAATTTTGAGTTTTTCTGTAGTTGTTGCCTACCGCATCTACTCCTTCCTACCTATTGTAATGAAGGCCCAATCAAGAACCCACCGCAAGATACCCAATAGGGTGGCATTTAAGCTAGTTGTAATATATTTTTTAAATTGTAAAGAGACTTTATGGATGTGCACAAACCATTCCTTACAATAACACAATCCCAAAAAAAATGATACAAGCTCATATGAAGTGGTACTTTAAACACTGATCAGCCTGTTTGATATAATCCAAAATGGGTAGTTCTTACTCGTAGTTCTTACTCGTGTGCAGAAGGGACTTTATCATGAATGTCACCTTTTTATTTAGCAGAGAGTGATGTGAGAGATTTATTTTAAAATATCTGTCTTAATTGAGTGTAG